TGTGGCAGCATGGCGCCATTTTTTGCTTTGCTGTGTGGTAGAACACCAGTGGCTGACTTGCATCTACTTGGCTTTGTTGGCTAGGTGTGAACCCTTTAATTGCATTCGTCCGATGGTGACTATGCACAACCGTTGTACTTGCAAGGCGATGTTGGGCGTAAATCCACATGTAGATTGTCCAAAATACGGTCATTGTGAGCGCTGAAGTTCCTATCGAAACCACTGGGGGTTGTTTCCTACTCGAAGCATGTAGTTAACTACAGTACATTATTTTGGGAAGATCCTTGGCTGGCAGGGCTCGTCGTGTAGCCTATGCGACTAAGCCTTGACTGAGCAACCGCAGCTGCTTGTTGATGCACAGTTGTTACTGATGTTGTGTTTGCTGCCCCAATCCTACATTGATGGACATGGACACAACATGCTCCTTGCCGCGAAAATTGACGCGAAACTCCTATTGTGTCTGGGTCCCCGGCTCAGCATTCCCAGCAAACGAAGCAGTTGAACCCTATTTACATCCCACAATGGGGAAGTTGGTTGTTTCGACCCTAGCAGCGAAGTAAATCTGGGATTGTTCAGGCAAGGGGCTGTTTTGCTTAAGTCCTTGCCCCCGTTTCCTAAGGAAAGACACTGTTTTGACTTTAGTACGCTTAGCATCAATGTGACGCTCAGCTCCGCGCGCCCCCCCCCCTCCCCCTCCAACGTCAATTCTTATTTCGATTCCAGGATGACTCAACAACACAAGCTATTGATGTTATACAAATTCAATATTGTTGAAGGAGAAAACGACTAAAATTATGGCAGTTGTGGTGATTTGAAAAAGGGAAAATAACAAAAGGGGGTCCTCTGTGAGATAACTTAGCAAAAGGGGTTCCTCTGTGACAAAAGGGGGTCCTCTGCGGGGGTGCATTTGACAAAAGGGGGTTCTCTGACCGCCCTCTGTACATTAGGCGCGTTGCCAGACCAGCGCAAGACCGGCGCTAGACCGACGCCATGCCGGCACCCGTATGGCGCTAGACTGGACTACGGTTCTACTAGGGACGACCCCTCTGGGTCACCGCTTGCTCTCCATGTAGCCCTGATCGCCGCTTGGTCTCCCCCACAGCTCCGATCGCTACAACTCCCTCTTGCAATTCCGACCGTTGTGTGCTCCTTGCGCTCTCCTAGAGGGGTCACCCCAGTAGGACCGCGGTCTAGTTTGGTGCTATACTAGTGCTAGTATGACGTTGGTTTGGCGCTGGTCTGGCAATGTGCCTAAAGTACAAGGGGCGGTCAGAGGACCCCCTTTTGTCAAATGCACCCCTGCAGAGGAGCCCCTTTTGTCATTTTCCCTTTGAAAAAAGGGATGCCAAAAAGTCGTCGCAGGCGATGGGAGCAGCCCCAAAGCCTGGAAATTTATCTATTCGAAGGACTTCTCAAAGATAGAAAATTTTGAGGGAGTTTTTGCAACAAGCCATGAGTTATTTGCTGCTGACCATTGGCGTTTTTATGCATGTTCCCACCGTGCTTTAGTTTTAGTGCAATTACATAATCTCTTAGCATCAATGGCTGGACCCTTCGCCCCCGAAATCAATTTGATGCTGAGTGTACAGAATTCAAAATAGTGTCTTCCCTAACGCCGGTTGGTTCATGGACAAGATTGGCACATTAATCTTTTGTCGTTGTTTACCACTTCGAAGTCACTACGCAAGAGCTCTTTGCTGCAAAATGGTGCCAAATCTGCAAATCTTAGCGAATTGACTTCCATTTTTTGACTGCCTACTCCAAACTTGTAATTGCAACTTTGAAAGAAAATTCAATAAAAATGAAGTGGTGGAAAACCAGTGCTCCAAATTCGTATGTGGCATTTGACGTGAGACAAACGAAGTACTTTGCTAGTCTCTACTCACATTTTCTGTTGAAAGCCAGGGTTCGCTGCTTTGTGCCTGTTTGCCACAGCGTTCTGGCTTAATTATGCGTTGTTATGACTGGCTGTGCAGGATTATGGCTGTGAGACCCCTAGTGAGGGGAGGGTTAATCCAAAAGGGCAATTTTCTTTATTGGTTGAATCCAGCACAGGTAGGTACATGTCAGTGTGCTGCTGATCGCCACGAATTGCCCACCCAGAGCTCTTAAATGCCAGACTGTTGCACATATAGACCATGAGCACGGAGACGTGACGGAGACACGACAGTGATGCTGATGGAGACGGGCCAGCAGACTGGGGTGGAGATGGTGGCGGGTCACGGTTGGTCGTTTTTGGTTTACAGTTACAACTTGGGGTTTCTTATTGCGGAGATGGTGAAGACGGAGACAGAGACGGGTCAGAATAGGGCGGTGGGGCGTTAGTGTTTAGGCTGTGTGTGTACTGGGTGTCCGTCGCCGTCTTGTCTCCGTGCTCTTCGTCGGTATTCGCAACAGTCTCCTGAAGCAACGATGAAGGCATGCAGGGTCAAAGGGTGGCGACCCCTGACTGGAGATCGTTGGTTCAAACGCATGGCAACAGTTTACAGCGGAGCAAAAGGACCACAGGAATTCTGTCCCTTACATCCAGTCCGTTCATCAATGTCCTTAATGCAATTACTAATGCCTCGCCACCTCTTATGCGTCCAGCAATAAATAATATGCTCGATCGGTTCTGGTTGTAACAGCAGCGGAAACGAACTCGCTCGGTTCTGGCTACCGCACCAGGAGAAACGAACAGCTATTAGTAATACTCGGTCTGTTGTCGCCCCTGCCGGTTGCCCACCCGCAGAGGGAGCCATCGCTCGGTAGTGAGAGCAAAACGAAGGAACGGGCTTGGCAACGCGCAGCGGAGAGCATGCAACGAAGCTCGGGATCGGAGAGTGGGAGGCTTTCCCATGGCCCATGCGGCAGCTCCCCTGGCCCAAGCGGCAGCCCTATCATGGCAGCCCGACACCCAACGGCGCCGTCCGCCCGTAACTCACCACAACGCCGCCTTCCCCACGGCTACTGGCTGAGGAGCACGCCGGCGAGGATCAACGGGGTCCAAAGGGAGCGTGGCAACCCCGTGAACAATCGTGGGGCTCGACCTCTGCGGGTTGCAGTGCACGGTAGGCCGCGTCAAGTTGGGTTTGGCGTCCTTGCCGAAACCCCTTCTGGGCCACGCGCCATGGCTCGCCGTGGCCCCGACGTGCACGGCTACAGGCTCAGGCGTCGGCCTACGACGGCCTCTGACGTCTCCCAAGAAGCGTCCCCCGGCTATGTGCCGCGGCTTTGGGCGGATGTCGAGGGCGCATCCGCGGCCCGTCCAGATCGCCCAGCGCGGTCCAGCACGGAGGAGAACGGGGAGGACTCGCCGCGGACGCCTCCCGCAAGAATTTTCAGTCTGCAGTGGAATGGGGCGTCCGCCAGCCATGCGGCCACCCCCGCCGGATCGGCCACCTGGCCCGGCCGCGTTGCGGAGATGAACGGGGAGGATTCGCCCCGCACATCTCGCGATCAAATTGTGAGTGTGCGGTGGCATGGGGCTGACCGGCAGAGGCTGAATATCAGACGGCGAGGGCGGGAGAACGCGGATGAATGGGTGCAGGACGACAGGAGGAGATTGCCCGGTGCTGGGGCGGATGTGGAGGCCACATCGCGCCACGGCGAGCTGGACCGGTCACTCGAGGCGAACGGGGAGGAATTGCCCCACACACCTCCTGACAGAATTTTCAGCTTGCGGTGGCGTGGGGCTGACAGGTCCAGGCTGACTGGCAGGCGGCGAGGGTTCGAGGATGCGGGGGAAGGGGCACGCCATGCCCGGCGAGTAAGGCCTCGAATACTGCGGCGACGAACGAGAGGGGTGATGGGTGAAGTGGCTGAGATGCCGCTGCCGCTGGATGTGGGCGCGGAGCCCCTGGTTGAGCCGGGCCTGGCTGAGCTGTGGGGTGCGGAGGAGGCGGGCGGGGCGGGCGGCCTTGTGGCGGAGCCCCACACGCCTTCGCCGGAGGTGGATGCGTGGGCATGGAGGTACCGGTTGAATCCGGACTTCGACGACCCCCCGCCGGCGCCCAGGAGGCGCCCCCGTCCGCCCAGGTGAAGGGGGGTTTCTTTCTCCGAACCTGCGGTTGGGGCGCGGGCGTGCCCGCAAGACGGCGGACAAAGAGCAAGGCGGGGTCTGGCGGCGTGTGGTGGTGAGGGGACGGGTGCACGAGGGAGGTGCGCTGGGGTGATGCGACGGAGGGTTTGGGATGATGCGACAGCGGGGCGCAGGGTGTTAATGAGCTTTTTGCAGGGATAGATGGGTACCAATTGTGCATCTGTGCTATGGGTGGTTGGTAGCGACCGTGGCGGGTTTAAATTATTCAAACGAAAGTGCTGGCTTCGAACAGACGTTTTTTGTTTTGGTTTCTATTTTAATCAACCTGTTTTGTTTTTACTGTAATTGTTTATGGCGTCAGCTTGAGCAGTACAATGCGGACCCAGTGGTGGCACGAGCGATAGATGCTGGGGCGGCACATTTCGGGTGCGATATCTTGTGCATGTCCTGACTGCCCATTACAGTAATTAATGAATGACATTTGAAAGTAAACGCTTGCGGAGGCGAGCATGCCAACACGGGTGGCGCTGATGTCGATTCATTCGCGATGGGCACCTTGTTGGCATTCGAAACTCGAGCAATCGCAACTGGGAAGGTACAATGCCCAAATTCCAACCCCGTGATCATTGGGATGAATCCCTGCTTGTCAAATAACTTGTTGCTGCTTTCTCGGGCCCCTGCCGCACTCAGCATTCCATGGGATCCAGGTTCGCGACAAACTGCCGTGCAACGCGGGCAATTTCTTTGACCACTCAGCCCTCCACTGATAACAAAAATTCCTTGGAGAGTGCCGCGCACCGGGCAGTGCCCACGGCCGCTTTTTTCAAGCTCAGGTGTGCAGATTCGGCCCTGGTTCCTTGGCTGCATCCACAGGCGCCACTGTACTGTCTCGGCCACTCCCATTGCCCTGGCGCCCTGCCTCGTGCTTCCTGTCGCTCCAGCCCCCTCCGCGTCGCCATCGCGCTGAAAGACCGGGGGAATGATGAAGCACCGGTACGCAAGCCTACGGGAGGGCGCTGAACTTGGCGTGGACGACGCGGAGCAGCGCTGCAGGCGCAAGCTGTGGAAGCGGTCGATCATGAGCATCCTAGCCCTGCTCGCCTTGGCAGCGTTGGTGACCTTCTTGGCAGCATCGCCGAGAGGGGATGCGCACCCCGGCGTTGGACATGAAGACGGGCGACTGCTGTTCGTCGGGGTGCTTCATCGACACGGTGGGTGGCACGGGGCAGTCGACTGGGAGATGCTGCCTGGGACGTTGGCGCGTGGACGGGGTGGGAGGGAACCTGCGTGCACCTTTAACTGCGGGTTGCGAGTCGATCTGGGAAGGGAGTGTCGACGTCCTTGGCGGCGGAGCCACGCGCCGCAACCCCCACAGCGCCAAGCGCGCTTGTTGCGCTCATGGCTTTTGATGGCAGAAGCAATGTCCTCGGCATGCCGCTGATTCAGGTGTGACCGTTGGACTCCCGGGAAAAATGGCGTGGGGAGAGGATGCCAGGAACGGGGGTGGCCTAACAGATGTTTTGATTTTGGCTGTTGCGGCTTGTCGCAGATCAATAACGACGCCCGGGTATATGTACACACAGAAGTCCAGATCGGGTCACTGAGACGTGAGTGTGCAACTGCCAAATCTAGGACAGTAGACTTGCGAGCAAGCACGGGTTGTACCTGTGGGCAGCTGGCAGGCTTTGCTGAAAGCACAATGATGCACTAAGGGAATAAATGGAAGTCAGCCATTGGCTGTCCAATCGCCAAGGGGAGGCTTGAGATTCCATTGCAGCTCAACGGTTTCCAAATCCCTCAAGGTGGCTCTGAACATGATGCAATGTGATTGACTGGCAGGGGCACGGACAGGCATCCATCACTACACTTTTGAAAATTTCACATGGCCCTGGAAGCTGGGGGCACTCACACTGGAAGGCATGGAGATGGTAAGCCTGCAGAAAATGCCGCAAATCCCCATGCATAGGTTGAAGCTAACAAAGTAAACGCAGATGCCTGCTAGACGGTTGATACCAATTTCTCCTTGAGGTGCTGGACAGAAAATTGTTCATCATAGCACTGCCAGGGACCATTGAACCCATTGGTCGGAAAAGCCCAAGCTTGAATGCCGCCATCTGCACCAGCTTTCCTAGTGCTGTCTCAAATCAACAGTTTGTTGACTAGCTCACTCTAAAGTCCGTTGGCTTGTTGCATTTTACACAGAGTTATGTGCATTCAACTATATTTGCACTTGCTACTGTTCTCATGTTACAATTCAACCAACCAGACATGTGTGCAGGGTACACACTTGTGCAATCTCTTCACTCAGAACGCCCAACAACATTCAAATATTCAAATGCCCATGTTGCAGGGCTGAATTTCCACGCTGCTCTTGTATTCGAGGGGTGCCTTGTTTCCTTTTGTGACACTCCCTTTGTGTCTCAACCCCCCCTTCTGCCACAGGGTTTCAACATGGGCAAGAAACTGAGGTCTGACTACTGGCGGCATCTCACCAGTAGCTCCTCGCAAATGCACATTGATGCGACCTCCACGAACGTCCCCCGAACCATTGACACTGTGCACAGTGCTTTGCTGGGACTGTTCCTTGGGGACCAAGTCAAAACGAGTTCTATTCTGGAAAGAGACTGCTCTTGCAGACCCGATCGCGGTGGACAGGCCTCCTCTGTTGAATGCATTGGCAAGTGTTTGGGCCTGGACTCCGTTCCGTCAGAACTACCAAAAGTGAAGGTCTTGCAGAGCTCCAGTATTGAGGTGAGGAATGCAATCGCTGAAGGAACAACTTGGAAACTGACAAGAGACAAATCGTAAACCGTAGAGCTCGATGATACTGCAGCGTTCTTGAGAGGCATGCGCTGGTGGACCAACAATACTCAAGCTCGTGGATAGTTTTGGAAGCATTACACTTGCAGCAGCAAATTCGCTGATACTCCCTAACAGGGAGCTGCAGGCTGAGATCTTGGATCTGTGCAACATGGCCGATACCAACAAGCTGAGACTGTTTTCTTGTTCCAGATTCACGATTTAAGCTGGCCTGTATGTTCTGGACATGCCTTGCTTACCTGGCGCATTAGCACTTCTTCACATGCTGTTCGCATACTTTGCTTTAGAAGGCTGCTGGGGACAGTGGGGTCTGGGCTTTTAGTTTGCTTTTGTGCTGCTTCCTCAAGCTAGACGCACATAGCTATGTTGATAGGTTTTCTAGTCATAGTTTTGTTGATTGCTAAAAGATGGGAGACATCAGTGTCCCCAAAGTGGCGTTGTATTGAAACCATTGTTTTGCTCGAATCCACTTTATCATCGATGCAAGAATTGCACTAGACACAGAGCCAGATCTGGCACACTTTGATCAAGTTGTGGATAGAATGGGTCTTTGCAACTGCTTTTACTGCCTGGGGTCCAACTGCAATTGGTCAATTTTGCACAATCAGTGGCGGCGAATTCTTTCCTGGCCAACATTCTTGGTGCGTAACTTGAGTCAGGGTTTTTCAAATTGGAGCACACTTGGAGCACCTCATGTGTGCCCCAATGGGCTGTTCCCTGACAAACATTCTTAGTGCACAGGCCTCGCTATTGCAGCAACCCTACGTTTGCAAAGAATATAGGACCTGGCTCAGTGACTTTGACACCTCACAACAGTACAGTGCGGCTGTGGATGAGTTTTCTGAGCAAATTAGATTCCTGAAGAAGGTGAGTTCAATGCAGCCCCTTTGCCATTTGCCTCATCTTCGTGCCTTCCAGAACACCCTTTACATTCTCAGAACCTTGGTGCTCATTGCAGTTTGCCTCCATGATGCCTTCTTGCACATTTGAGAGTTCGTGGTGTTGGATAGTGCTGAAACAATGGTAAATATTGGAACGAACCGGATTCCCTTGACATAAACAGTGGTACATGCATTTTCGTTCTCTTATGGCTCAAGGCTCATTGTTGTCTGACCGTTTGCAGTGTGCACATGGAGGCACACACATTCATGCTGCTGTATTGATGCCCCCTGCTAATATCAATTCCACTTGACCTGTTGTCCTCTGTGCCCCTATGTGGTGCTGCAGTGGGGTTGATTTGTTGTTACTTGGACCTGGACATGCAAAGGCCTGACAATCACAATGGGCACATGTTGTGCTAGATCTTGCTCAGTATCACTGATAGCTGTGGTTTGTGCTGGTCCACTGGCTCCCATGCCGCTTAAATGCAGACACATGCTATTGTTATGGTATGTTATGACCTGTCCCCCTTCCTCTGGAGTGGGTGTCAACCATCGGGGATCATGTTTTGCTCAGGAACTAGCCCTTTGCTGCACTTATCTGGAGTGACTTTCTAGCTCCTTGACTTTGTTGAAGTCCAGTCATCAGCCCCTCTTAACAGTTCCTTGTTTTGTATCAGGGGGATGCCACAGCATGCACTCAAAATGCGTTTGTGGACTGTGCCAGAATGTGCGGAACCCCCTGAATAGTGCAATATCAGATGTTGTGGCATCTGTCCAACTCTGTATGGCTTTGGTGGGGGCTTGTCTGGCATTCGCAGTAACTTAGTCATAACAGCATTTTACCTTGCTGTGCAGGTAGTAAATGGAGACAGACTGTGTTTTGACGATCTGACCGGCAAAACCATTAAGAACGATGAAACGTGCACCAACATCACCTTGGAGGCTGTGGAAAGGGTTTGGGACAGTGCTGTTTGTGCCCTGTTTGAAGGAATAGACTACCCCAGCCCAACGAACCACACAGGCCTCATTGACACATTTCAACCAACTGTGGATTGGCTGTGGCACCACTGGTGAGTGGGCTCGTGCTCCACAAACTGGAGGGATTTGGTCCCCATCCCACCCTAGGTACAATATGCTCAACAGCTTGGATAGCCTGACAGCAGCTCAACCTTGTGGCTACTTGAAATAAGTAAGGTACAACAGTTCCTGAAGGGGAATCTTGGGAAGGATGCACTCGCTTCGGCACCAAGCTACGGTAAATAGTGCTCCCATATTGTCATGTGCAAAACACAAATGCATGCCCTACTTGCTTGTCCTCAGTTTGGCAACGGAATCTTGTCTGTGCTTTTCTGCTCTACTGGGTTCATTCATGCCGGTTTTGAGTCGATGTGTCAGTCCTTGTGCGGAGGGATTGAATCGCCGACATTTAATGGCTGCAATTTTCATAGCACAGGGGCTTAGTTTGTGCCGCATGAAGTGTTCTTTTTATAGTCTTTCCAGTCGTGTATTTTGGAAGAACACATGCATGGATGTAGTGGGGTGGCGCTGTGTGGCTTGCAATGGTCTTTTACATACTCGCTACCAGATCGAAATGTTCATGCCAGGGGCAACAATTTGCTGGGGGACCAGTGTGTACTTCAGGGATGGAAGTGGTTGTGGAGTGTGTGTTTATAGAAGCAAAAGTGGAATGAATATGTTCCACGATCCCAAACTCTTTGTACATTGGACCCTCATCTCTTCAAAATATCCCAACAGGCAGTTGTGCCATTGCCTAGCTTCACACAAGCATGACCGGCTGTGCTGCCTGCAGGTTTACTGTGGATCAGGGCCCAAACATGGGTGGCATTCTACTCAACGACATACTTGAAAGGATGCATGCAGCCCAGGTTGCAGACGAGTCCCTGTGGAAAACAGAGAACCGCAAAATGGGAAAAGTCGCGGGCTTTCAAGGTGACAGCCAAGGGGAAGCCATCTTGGCCCAGTTGTCTGAAATTGTGCTAACAAACCTGCACTACAATGCATTGCAGCTAGAAATCTGCGTGTTTTGTTCAAAGACATTATGAAGCAATGCCCTTGCACTGCTGCTGGTAATCTCCAATGGACCCTTTCCCAGGAACACTGCAAAGCACTGTTCCTTTACCAGGCAGGCAATTCCGATTGCTGGGTTGCCATGACAGAGTGCTGTTTTCATGGCAGTAGTTAGCTTCAAATGTCTGTGCTTAGACACAACATAGCCAGTGGAGAGAGCTCACTATTGAGGGAGTGGTCCACTCTTGTCTAAGCCACATATTCAACCCTTGCCTGTCTGAGCATGCAGGCTGCGGGGGCAATGGTGCTCTCACGTTGTAAGAAATGCAATCGCTGTGAGTGCTTCCACCAGGTGTTCTCTTGTCATCGAGAGCACGGCCAACATCTGAGTTGGAAACTGGTCCCTTGGCTTACCTTCAAGATTTTTTTGAGCTTTTGTTCAGGCTTAGACTTCATTTTTCTTAAAGTCTTCAGGATTTGGATTTTAGGTTCAAAATTTGGAATGCTAACACTCAGGAGTCGCTTTCGCTTTATGTTTCAATTCTTGGTTTTTAGTTTCCGGGCCTGACGCATGGGACCCAATTGTGCTGCTACTGTGCCAACGGGAATGCATACAACCAATCAACTGTATATTCTTGCAATGGCTATGTCATGCATGGGGCAGACAGGATGCAACTGAGCACCAATCACATGGGGCCCATACAATATTGTGCATCTGATAGATTTAACTGGTCCACCACCAGCGCTGCATTTCAGCAGGATTGAATGGAGAATATTGTGAAAAGTGTTGAAACTGACAATGCATGACTGGCTTTCGGTGGGCATCTGCTTTGTTTGCTGGTAAGTGCTTTGCCCCTGGTACCAGCCATCACTCACACAGAAAATTGCATGTGTTCGTCTGTAACAGCATTGCCAGAGCACCACAAACGCACAGATATTGTGACTTGTGTATCAAGTCCCCAGACCAATGCTCCAGTCCAGTGGTCTGCTCCAAAACAATGATCTGCTCCAAGCCGTTGTATGACTGCCTTAACACCCGAGTCTGTTTTCACAGGTGCATCGATGGTGCTGTACTCTGCACACGACTCAACCGTGGCCTCATTGCTGGCCGCCCTTGGGTTGGAGAACTGGAGTTTGCCTTCCTTTGTTGCCCACATTACCGTTGAATTGTGGGCATCGGGAACGTCAAATGAGACAGACCCAAGGGTTGTCTTGCAGTATTATGATGGCAGGGACGGCCACATGCTGGATGTTCGCGGGTGCCCAGATGGGACTTGTGCGTACAGCAGTCTGGTTGCCGCACTGTCCAGCAGACGTATGACCATGGCAAATTGCACATTCGTGGCACCAAAGGAGGCAGTAAACAGCACTGCAGCAGAGAAAGGCCGCCGATGATGTGGTGGCTGCCAGTGGCTTCGTTAGACAAGCTAGCACATCAGTCGAATGCAGCGATTAGCTACTTTTCTGGGATTATGTGGCGCTTCTGGGGAGTGGCACACTGAACAGGATCCTGCAATCGAATGTGGCTCATGAGCTCCATCGCATGGTGGCCATGTCAAGGGATCTGGATTGCAGAGTGTGCAAGTACTGCTGGTAATTGTACGATTATCGGTCCCAAGAAATGTGCTACAGTCCAGCAGCAGTGTTGTTGCTGTCAGCACTGAATTTGTTTGGCGCACTTACTGATCTTGGAAACTTGCAGTCCAGATGCTGCATATTTGTGGAGAGGGTGTGTGTTGTTCGGGCGCAGCTAGCCACTAGTTGCAATAGCAGTGAGAATTTGAGCCTGTGGCGCAGTCTGCTGTACGGTTGGAATATTGCAAAGGCAATGCCTGTGTATGCACACTGCTGAAGTAGTTCATACACATGGGGCAACGGCCACTGCCACAGCAACACCCAGGCTTTGAAGGGGAGACACGCGGACATTACACTGCCAATCAAATCCTAGTATACTGCAGGCCCCCCTTCGTTAGCCTATATTTGCAACTGGTGTTTTCTCAGAGCGCAGAATCCAGTGTTGGCTACTCCAATCTGTTTCATATGCGCGTTCTTGGTGCACGGCCACTATGATCATGGAACATTGTGTGCGCTTGGTCTGTCCACTGCATCCCCCAGTTGCCGTTTTGGGGCACAAAGCCATGGAGACAGGCTGTGTCTCTGTAACAGAGGGATGGCGTCAGGAGTGTGACCATGTCACTTGGCTTAGCTCCAGAGCCTCCAATCCCAAAGTACTGGAACCATCCACCCAGGACCCCGAAGCCCCTGCATCTGGTCCTGAAAACCAGGCTGAGTCCTTGACTCAGACGAAGAGCTAACGCATAGTGGCATAACTGGAAGCCTTCAAAATGGGCTGCCAAGCAGTCCATCTCATCGAATCTGTAGCCCATGATCTCCACTGCTATTTTATCGGCAAAACTCGGGTAAACCTCACCTGGGGCAGGGGCGCCAGGCACTCCTCATGCTGCGTCTTGAGTGCGCCCGCAAATTTTTGGGCGTGATGGTGCGGCACTAGCGATGTGAAATTTGGCTGGCATAGTAGCTTACGAAAAGCAGCATTGGAGGAACCATTCTGAGGTTAATAAATGCCGGCCAGTGTCTGAATGTTAGATGACAATGTTTTGTTATGTTTTTCAAATCCAGTCCTGAAAGAATGTTATGGCAAGGGTACATTTTGGTTTCCGGCAGTTGACAACTCCAAGATGGTAAGGCAACAAAACAAGGGGGTGGTGATCTCATCTTACATGTCTGGAGTCCAACAGCAACTCACAGAGTATATACACATACAGACCACTTGCTTGGCAGCCTTATCCCCACATACCAGGGGCTTGGAGCCTGGCAGTAGTGCCTGGGTGGGGATGCCGGCGGAACTTCATGAAGTCGTTCAATATAACAAAGGCAAGCTAGATGCAGCTGCGCACAGTTCCTGTTGAAAGAAACAGGGGCTCTGTCAGGTGCGCTGGTCAAATACGATCGACAACAGTTCACAAGAAATAGTTTGGTGGTTGCTGGTTGATGATGTCGTGGAATCTATGTGGAGTCCTCCTTTGAGAGGAGCCAAAAGTGTCGCATTCCGCCTGGTGGTGCGCTGGAAGGCTAATTGGGCTCTAGCCTGGCTTTTACCATTGTTAGCCATGTCATCGCCTTGGAAAGTTTCTAGGCGACCACACATCTCACACACCTAGCTGACTGCAATGAACTTTGTATTTAGGATGCTGGTGTCGGCGCACTTCGCTGTTCAGTGTTTGCAGGCAACCATATCGCTATTCCCAAGGGGCATTGCCAATACGCCACACCACCGAGCACTCAGTCACACACAGACAGCGAAGCTGTGAAAGTGCACACACACTCAACCAGTTCCCATTACCCACCACCCCGCCTCCTGTGCCCTCCTCCCGGCACAGCAACCCACACCCACCTCCCGGCGCCGCGCGCGCCAAGGGGGCGCGGCACTCTCAGAAACCAAGGCGCTGCCGTCGAAGGCATGCCAGAATGGTTGGCCGGGGAAGGGGAATCGAGATGACGCGTCCGGCCTGGATGACGGGTGAGCAGACATTCGTGTTGGAGACGCGCGGTTCTTAGGGGGGACAAAATGTGATGGAGGAGCTTCCCTCTGAGTGTTGCGCACTGGGTGCCCGATCAAAGAGGGCGGTTTGGTGCGCGGGGCCCCGTCGCCGCGTCTTGCCTCCTCGATCACCGAACGACGTCGGGCTGGGACGGCATATTGGAGGCCTTCTTGCAGAAGCGAGTTCCGGCCCAGAGAGGCCATTGCACTGCGGAGTTGGGAAAGCTGCCGGCCTCGATAAGCAACCTGCCTACCTTATCTCCAAGGCCTGCTTTGCATTGACCCTCGCAGGCCCCTCGCTCTGGATTTGTGATCAGAGGAGGCGCACGAATCGCGCAGGGCCGCAGTGCCTGTGGTCCAGAGCAGGCTGCCTGCGAACGACAAACCTGCGATGTCTAAGGTGGATTTCTGTGTTGCTTGCAGCGGGGCCGCCCGTTCCCGGTGGCCTGGGCCAACCCGCCCCAGCAGGACCGGTGAGTGCGGTTGGGCGTTGTTTCGGGCGGTGGTAGCTTCCGTGCAAGGAAAGGAAAGTCCTGGCACGAAATCCTCTAAGCATGCTCATTCTCCAGGCATATGCTGTGGCAGTGAGTTGTGCTGTTGTGTAAGGCACCAAACAATTGACAAACGGGCACTACAAAGCAACACAGGGAGACCTTTCTGAGAACCATTCTACCTAGGCTTGGCTGTGTGCGTTGTTACTGCTGCTAGTCTGCCTGCAAGGGAACTCAAACAGTGCTGTTCATTTGGTGATGTTGCCTTTTTGATGTATCCATAAACCTGGCATTTCAGTCCTTACTGTGCATTGTTCGTCTGAAACCAAAGGACTAGATGATAAGAGCAAGTTATTGGATCCATAATGATAGTTTCCATGGTCACCCCCTCTTGCGTGTGGCAACACAACCCCATGCATGATACCCTGTTGTGGCCATCAAATGCTTGTTGCCAAGCAATCCATATCTTAGCCTGTACTTCTCTTTGGCACTGATCCAGCTCCTTGTTGGGTGCAACTGACAGCCGCTTTGTTTGTTTGTTGTTGAAGCCACGTGTGCCAGGACCTACTGGACCAGGGGCTGCAGGTCCAGGTCCACAGGCTTTTGCCCCTGCCCCTGCTCATGTCCCGCTGCCTGCCCCAAACACTGCCTCTGGCCCATTTCCTGGCCTTCCTCCAGGGACCCGGCCGCCAGGGATGCCAGGACAGACGATGATGGCACCCAGGCCAGGTGTGTCAATTGATTCACTGCTCAAATGGTTGCCTGAATTTGGAATTCATTCTGTCTGCATGGAACATTTAATATTGCTCATTTCCCTTATTCAAATGAGCCAGCAATGCACGCAAGCCAGGCAACAAGTTTAGGGCAGTCCATGTCAGAGACCAAAGCAGAGTATTGACAATGGAACAGTGGATGCAGAGGCAGTTCACCACTGAACCAGTCACCCTTCCCTCTTCTGGTCGCAGCCCAGTGCAGAAAAGGCAATAAAGTTGCAAGACAATAAAGTTGACAAGATCACTGCCTGGTCGGTGGTCGAAATAGTGCAGTGGAAGCATTGGCACTGGTTTTTGCACGAACCTGCGTTGAGCCTTAAGAGGGAAGGAAGTGCAAATGCTTGGGTAATGCATTGTTCACAGTGCTCATGAGAGGGAATGCAAACACCTTTGACTGTGTACCTGGCACCTGTGTCCCCATTGCCAAATCTTCCCACCCTGTGCATTTCCACAGGCTCCTCTGAGCAATGCTGATGTACCACGCTGCTGATTATTGGCTTGTGTTTGCACATTATAGTGATGCCTCAGGGTTTGAGGCCCCCTCCCGGAGTTGCCATTCCGCCACCACACTTAAGGCGAGGCCCTCCAGTGTCACTGCCAGGAGTTGTCCCATTATCCCGGCCCCTTGGGCTTGCGCCACCAGTTGGGCTTCCTCCTCAAAGACCTCACATGGTGCCACCTGGGCCCCTTGGCCCCACTCCACGCCCCCACCCTGGATTGGTGCCCACAGGCCAGGGACTACCACAGGTGTGGTCCAGAAGAGTTTTGCAAATGTCTCTTACAACCTCAGGTCATTGAAAATGCAGCTTTGTGATACATTGTGCCGCTTTGTGCTTTATTTCTGCACAGTAGTTGATAGGCAAGCCTGTATGCTGCGGCTCAGCTGCTGGACACACAGCTCATACATGGCATTCTGTGTTCATACATGAGATATTGAGGCCACCTAATTTTGCCTGCATTAGCAATCGCCTGGTGCTTTCCAGGCTGGGGCAGATTCGGGTGTGGAATAGCTTTCACAGTACCCCTACAAGAACCAGTTGCCACATTCTGTGTTGAGCACTTTTCCTGTCAATCTCATACTTGCCTCACCATATTCAACAGTTTTGAGCTCATTCTTGCAAGACTATATGTTCAAGGGATGGTTGCCGATTGTGTCAAAGGATGCCATTATACCGAAAAGACTATCTCCAGCATTGGAAGGGGACAGAGTGATTTCACATTCTTGAAATGTATGGTGCGAGCAGGGGCCACGACCTGTACTTCCTGCACCTGTACCTCAAAGGTTCCCCATGCCATTTATGGCCCCACAGCCTGCTGCTGGTGCACCCCATATGCGACCTCCCCCTGGGCAACTGCCAGTCCCCCATCCAACTGCTGTTCCTCCCACAGCTGCTACAGTCCCACAGCCTGACAGCAGGCCCAAGTCGGAGTGGACCGAACATAAGGCCCCAGATGGCAGGACGTACTACTACAACACCACAACGAGGACTTCCAGCTGGGAGAAGCCCCCAGAGTTGATGGGCACCCAGGTGTGGGGCATGCTTTTTGTGGTTTGTTTGTTGTGGATGTTGCTGGTCAGAATACATAGAGTTGTTGTATTCTCTGTCTCATACACACACTTCATCGGCATAAATGTCCAGTGTTCTTGCCTATCTTGGGCTGTATGCAAACTTGCAGTGCTTTTGCACTGTATGACTTTGCAGGCTAGTTCATAGGAGTTGTTGATTTTCCAGACTCCATTTCCTTCTCGTGTGACAAGCGACTGATGCATGGGTTGGTGGGTGGTTTGGTTGAAAGTCTTTTTGCCGCATGGGCTCTAGTGTGCTCATGATGGGATCGAATGGGTGACCAAGCTGCAATGTACATATGCTGTTCCTCGCAACATCGTGTGTGAGTGCTGTGTACTGTGCATGGTTACTGGAGTAGTACTGTTCATGAGGGTTGACCTGAGGATGTCAAGAACCTTTCTTGGAAGTAAACTTCCTGTTGTATGGAAGAGCTTGATAGGGTTGGATGAAAATCCAGCCATTTCATCAAGGCAAGGCCATGTGCTAGCTGGTGTATACAAAGGAACTACGTTTGCTGCATTTGCTCACTCTGCTTCCATGCTGTGGTGTCACCAAACATGCCATGGCAAGGTTGGCTTCGATTGGGTTGCCTTGTAAATGAGCAGAACGCTTGCTGTCATGCATGCTTGCAGTGGAGGGTACCGATAGCAATGTGTATGCTTGCTGTGTAACAGGAGAAAGCCGATGCTGAAACCAGCTGGAAAGAATTTGTCAGCCCGGAAGGCAAGAAATATTACCACAACAAGATAACTAAGCAGTCCCGATGGGAGATGCCGGAAGAGCTGAAGCAGGCCAGGGAGGCTTCAACAGCCATGAAGAGCAAGCCGCAGAGCACTCAGCCCACAGTGCAGGTCATCAAGCTTGAGGGAGCTGCATCAGGTCCTCCAAAGGGTTTAGAGCAGAATGGAGTGGACAGGGCAGATGGGCAGCTGCCTGGAAGCAACAAAGCGATGCCGCCTGGAAGCAACAAAGCGATGCTGCCTGGCAATGTGTGTTGCACAGCACAAAATTGCTATCCAGCTGGTTTTCAAGTGTTGCAGTGCTGAGTTCGTCTGAAACACAGAACCTTGCAGTACCCCAGCATCGCATCCTTTCATACTCTCGTACTCTTGCCTTTTGCTGCAGATTGCCAGGAGGCGGGATACGTCACAATGTTTAGTTTTTAGCAGCTCAGTATATGTGCATGTACAGTATGATTGTTGTGCATCCCCATGGCAAGTGATCCACTCTAGACTTGGGGTCCTCAAGCAATTTTGTCTCTTGAGCTGCACTCAGTTGCCCCCAAGCTGATGACGCGATGATTGCTGTTGTTTTAAGGGTTGCTGGCCTTGGTGATTGTCTTCATTCCCTAACACAATTTTATAAACGCGATTCCCTGTTGCTATCTTTTGAAGTTGATGCATGCTTCCTATAGGGCTTGGTGGCCCGCAGCACAAAATCTGAACCTGAGGGTCACTTCCAGTATGCTACAAAGGTGAGGATTTGAACGTGGGAGCTGTGGGGACATGTTGATGCTGTGTTGTGTAGAGTGAACAATGCACCTTGTGTATTGATTGTGGCCCAAATACCATGACTAAAGGTGCCTGTGCTTCATGTTCCTTCACTGCATCATCTGACTGTCCCATTTGTGTTGTTTCCTGTTCTATGCTCCCACCCACCCACCCACCTCTACATTTCTCCCCCTCACACCACGCCACTCAACTCACCCCAACCCACCAAGAATTGCATCAGCAGTGCTGAGTCTTGCTATCTTGGAGTGCACCAATCTGGTAGATCAAGCCTTCAGCATAGGAGTGTTTTGTTTACAGTTTTGACATGATTTCCCGTCGCAAGCAGGCAGAAGCAACGGAGGCTTTCAAGGAACTGCTGGATTCTGTCGGGTGCACTTCAGACTGGACCTGGGAACAGGCAATGCGACTTATCGTGAATGACAAGCGCTACGGGGCGCTCAAATCTCTGGGCGAGAAGAAGACCTGCTTCAATGAATATGTCCAGGAGCGGAGAAACAAGGAACGTGAGGAGGAACGGATGCGGCACCAAATTGCGAAGGACGACTTCATTGCAATGCTTGAGAGCAGCTCAGAGTTGAGATCGTCTACTCGCTACTCAAAGGCCAAAGAGATATTTGAAGATGATCCTCGTTGGAAGGTGAGAATTGCAGGTGCTGTGCCTCCTTCAAGTTTATGAGATGCATGTTCCTAACTGGCATCCCCAGCACAAAGAGATGGTCCGATGTGAATCAACTAGTTGTGATAGCGCATATATTAGCGATCCCTGTGGTCCTGCAAGTCCACCGTCTTTTGTGCTTCCTTGTTTGTAGGGCCTTGATGACAAAGAGAGGGAGAGGATGTACCTTGAACACTTGCGGGAACGAGAGCGAAAGGAGAGGGATGAGAAGCGTGCGGAGAGAGGCGCCAAGATGGGCAAGTTTCGGGAGCTCCTGGAGAAGAGGACTGTTGTGCATGTGAAGGTGGGTGGTTGTCAGTGCCTCAAAACTTTACCAACAACACCCACCACCAACATCACATTTTGGCACACACCCTGGTATGCCAGCCCGCCCATCTTTGAGAAGAGCAAGAGTACCTGGTAAGACTGGCTGTGTGGACACACCAGTGTGCACTGTGTTTGTACTTGTGGGAGCCATGAATACAATCTGTCCTCCAGCATCAAGGCAGCATGCCGCGCTGTGAACATCTCTGCCAGGTCCATTTCTGATAGCAAGTGACCCAAGAAGATGTGGTGGAACAACAGGCAAGCAGCCAGTGGCGGAAGGTTGCTGACAAACTGGAGGGCTACGATGAGTACGAGGCCCTTGACCGCAGCGAACGGCTGGAAGTGTTTCAGGACTACATGCGTGAGCTGGAGCGCAAGGAAATGGAACAGAGGGAGCTGGAGCGCCAAGAGCAACACAGGAAAGAGAGGAAGAATCGCGACAAGTTCATGGAGTTCATGAAGGAGCAGAGGGAGCAGGGCAAGCTCCACGCAAAGTCCCGATGGAAGGAGTACGCAAACAGCATTCGCAAGGAGGAGGCATACATAGCTGTGGACAAGAACAAGTCTGGTTGCCGCCCAAAGGAACTATTTGACGACTTTGTGGAGGAGATGGAGGAAGAATTTGACAAGCACAAAGTGAGCACAGTTCTTCAGCTGCAACTTCGCTGTTCTCATTGTGTCCAATTCTGCTCCCCCTTCACGCATTGCAAAATTTGCAGATGCACTAGCCACACTATCAAGGCCAGTGGGTGTCCAACATTCTTGGGCACCCAACAAAGTGCTGCCTTGCAGGCATACTTCAGAATAGTCCTCAGGGCTCAGTTGCCACAGAAAGATCAAATTCCTGTATTCAGGTTGAGCAAGTGTGAAGAACAGGTCAAAGATGAGTCCTTGATGCTGTGCTGAATAGCATGGGCAGTGAATATGTGAGTTGTGTCTGATGTAAACCACTGCAAACCAAAGTGGATCAGTGTGTTAGTGGGTCGGGCACCTCTTATACTCTGGCAACTGTGGTGGCATCATAGTCAAGTGTTGTTGGCAATCCATCCAGCATCTTGGCTCTATTATAAATGCACCGGGGGTCCAGGATCTGACCTATAGGTTTGGTGACAGGCAGCAATGAAGGAAGTAGTGAAGCGCTCTGGTATTGCTGTCCTTGTCAGCACAATCTTTGAAGAGTTCAACGATGCCCTAAACGCTTCCAGTGAGAAAATGAAGTCGATCAGGGAAATAAACAAGTAAGTCCTGGAGGGCCGATCGCTTTGGTGGGCCATGCAACCCAGTGACATGGCCTTGAACTTGGCACTCCTCTGCTGGTTCGCCGTGCCATTGCTCAAGTCTTACATATTGCAGATGCTCTTCCTGTGACCCTATACCCCTGAGAATAGGCAGGTTTTCAAGATCGCAAATTCAGGCTGCAAACATTGTCAGTGCTGCAATTACCACTTGCAATTGTTGTACAAAGTTGCCAATATTGGCAGATGTTTATGCTGAGTTTGGGAAATGTACTCACTGCACACCACACCTTGTGGTTTTCTTATGAGTTGAGAACTGACAAACAGAGTGTAAACTGACATGCGAAAATGCTGGCCCGATGTTTGCTGCCATGTAACTATGGGAAGTCGTGACCCTTGCTGCTCTTCAGCACTATATCAACATCACTCCAGAGCTGAGGGGGTAGTGCTGTGCATCCCTAATACATGGCTGCTGTCAGGCTGACAGTGCAAGCTGCTGTGAGGCTGTGGGCGACTGTACAAGACGAAATGTGGCAACTATTGGCCAATTTTGCTGATCTGCTAGGAATGACAGTGGCTTTGCTGCCAGTGGTCAGCGTCTCGAGTGTGCCCATGTCTCTGGCAGTGGCTACTCTCTCAGTCACCAATGCTTAACTTCCGTTAACCCCTCAATGTTGTTCACGACGTTCCAGGCGGCTCATTCATGAAGAACTCGTTTCGAGGGCAAAGGACAAGGAAGCTAAGGAGCTCAAGAGGCGCAAGAAGCTGCGCGAGGAGCTCTCAAGTGCCCTGAGGTATTGCAAGGGTATCAAAGAGGACACTTCCTGGGAGGAGGCTATGAAGATTTTGAGAAAGGAAGCAGATCTGAGGGATCTGGTGAGGCAGATAAATCTGCTGTGCAAAATACTGATTCCTTTTCAACTTGTAGCATATTGGCATCAAGCCTTGCAAGCTTCTGAGTGTGTCCTCAGTTCTCCTGTTGTGCTACTGTTGCCAAGGAGGAGGAAGATTCTGACCTTCGTGGGGTGTTTGAGGAGTACATAACAAAGCTCAGGAAGAAGGAGGGAAAAAAGGAAGAAAAGAAGAGGGAGAAGAGGGAAAAGAAGGTGTGAGAAGTTTCTGGGGAACACATGTAAACCTGTCAGTGAGACCAAGTGACTGGTTTTATATGCTATGTATGTTGTTGTACCTGATTGTGTGGGACATCGATCCAGAGCTGTGCATTTGTTGTCTTGTCAAATCGATCAATGTAGAGTATTTCTGAGTGTGATGTTCTGTTGAATGGAACAAGGTACAGGGGTTTCAAGTCTGCTCTTTTGTGAATGCATTGTAAAGTCTGGTTTCATTCATATTGACTTGTTGAATGGATCACTCTGCAGCAGTTCATGATTGCAGTTGTATGAGTAGTTCAATAAAGAATAGTGCAAGCTTGTTGCTTTACCAGTTAGGTCAGCAGATATCATGGTTTTGCCATTGCCCAGCATGTTGTCAATGCAACATGGGCCATGTCCAGATACAGTATCTTTTGCAGGGCCAATAGCACTCACTATTCGTTTCAGCATCGTGTTATTATGCAGTGGCTTGGTGGCATAGTTTTGCTGTACATTTAGTTTTTGTGTCTTTTGTTTCATTTTCTGTACGTCCTTCTCTGAATAGAGTAATTTCCCCTCCAATTTTCCAACCACCTGTCGTTTGCTGCGACCAGGAGGAATCGGAGTCAGGGGACTTGGAGGATGATCACAAGCGCTCGAAAACTCATAAACAGCGCAAGTCCCACAGGCGCCACCACAGTGCAAGCGGGGAGAGCGATGAGGAGGAGGACCATGCTCGAAAAAGGAGGCACAGGAGTAAGCGGTGAGTCACACACGGTCTTGATAATTGCAACAGGGTCCTGATGCTTGCACTGTAGGGAGAACAATGCACACCTGGAAGGACGCAGCTCCCAATGTGTTACGCACTGTGCAACAATCTTTGTGCTTTAAGCACGTGAACTGGAATAGGACCTATTATAGTGGAAGATAGTGTGACAAGTGGCAATGAATGGTTGGTGAGGCACCCGTTGTTTTGCCGTAAAGGAGTCCAAGTAGTGCAAGCCAGCAGATGCTGAGATATGCCAGTTGTGACACACACGCAATTCAAATGGAAATGCAAATGCCAAGCAGGGAAGTAAACAATCTGCAAGAGCTGTCCATCTGCACATTTTTTTTGCTGCCTTCATATCAGCACAGTTACATGGTCATGTATCTGCGCCATATTACCAACTGACCCACAGCAGATCCCTGTATCCTCAGTGGTACTACAGTGGTACCAAAGCAGTGATAAGTGCTGCTTATATTCTACTTTGCTCCACCACAGTACAACTGGAATAGTGTGGCACCTGTGTATCTAACATTCTGGACTGGGAGTAAGCTCGATCGTACAGATGGTTCTGGATGGGTAAGCAATCGATGTGTTTCTACAGGATGGACATACCTGTTGGCTAATTGCAGGCTTGTGTTGTTGACCACGTTTGCTCTGTTGGATCTTGTAGGCATCATGATGACTCCGATGATGAAGGAAGAAGGCGCACAAAGCGACACAAAAAAGACAAGGAGAAGGGGAAGGACAGGGAAAGGGACAAGGAAAGGGGGAGGACAAAGGAGAGAGAAAAAGAAAAGGCCAAGGACACTGACCTTGGCGACAGGGAACCAGACCAAAGAGAACGGTGGGTGTGATGGGATGACGCCTGTTTGTGCAGGTATTCGTGAAACTGCTTTGAGTATTTGTCCATGGGATGCATCTCAACATGTCCCAGCTGCCAGCTGTTGAACTACATAACCATTACATTAGCCAGTTGCTGACATATACTTCCTCCGTCTGGGACCAAAGTGAAAGCCGTGCAAATATCTTGGAGAATGTTTGAGTGGTATGCACCTTCAAGCACATACAACATGAGCTGCGAAGTCGAGAATTCTGAAGATCTAGCTGAAGCGGCTCAAATTGGAGTCCAGAGTGGGGCTCATTCCCATGTACCCCATGGCATTTGTCAGGAAACAGTTGTTTTTTGGGGTTGTGGACCTGGTCTTTCCAGCGATGATGCTCAATGTAAGTAGGATTTTCTGCTGATGTTGTCAAATAGCCTTTTTCAATTGTAATATGCAATTCTGTATAGAGGGATTGTGAGAGAGGAGCTGAAACAGAATGCTGCCATTACGCTGCAACACTGGTGCAGCTATGAGTAGGTGGCAAGTGCGTTGTGCGTCACAGCATTTGTCCTTTTGATGTGGATCAAGGCCAGAAACTACTGATTTGCTGAAGTTTAGGTTTGATCTTGGAATCTTGGTAAACTTCAATAAACACCATGTTTGCGTCATGAGCTGGAGTGGGAATGTAGATATATATGCTAGTCATGGTCAGAAGTGCATTCATTGCTCATTGAAGCTAATGCTGTGCAATGCTCTCTGTACCACCCTGTGATCAAGTGCTTTATTCAATGTCACTCCCATTGATCTACATGCAGCATATCGTGCTACAGACCATTGGTGATGCACGTTCTAGCCAATACCAATCTTGCTGTCGCCTGTTGCCAGTAAATGCCCACTTCCTATGTCATGCTCTGTGTATTATCTATTTTGGGGAAACAGGCTTGAGTGCTGCTATCCTGGGAAGGGTATGGTGTGCTGTATGAACTGCTTTTTGTGCTTGCGTTAAGAGGATTCATATGTATTGCCAGCACTGCACACCATGTCCCCTTTTGCAGCACAATTCGGCCTGTGAACAAGAGCCAAGAAGCATAATAGAAGCAGCAGGCCTATCTCCTTGTCGATGCTTTGGTGAAATTGGGGAGGCAGGGAATTGCAAAGCAAGTATTTGAAATAAATGGGCATCTTTCAGAGAGATCTGCTTTGTTTTACACAGGCCGAGGAAAGACAAATCTTGTACAAATGATGACAGCAGTTGGCAATCACGGCCACAAAATGATGGTGAGGGTGCAGCTCCTGAGGCTGACATGGATGATGAGCTGCACGCTGACCTCATACCATCCATGCCAGAAGACAGGCCCAGCCCCATGGCCATCGACAGCCAACGCGACGCCTCCAGAGAAGAAGGAGAAATGCCAGATGCCTGTGAGGAAGGCGAGACGCAGGCAGCAGATGCTGGTGGTGGAAGAGAGAGGTCTGAAGAAGGGGAGCTGTGACAGATGGACGTCCCCAATGCCCTGGTGGAAGTCGACATGGGACGGCTCATCGTGTTGAGGCCACAGCGGGCGAAGAGGTGCCTGTAGTGCGGTGTGTCCAGGATTAAACTGCCCCTGCCCCTGCTGTTGGGGAAACAAAAGCACAGCTGTAGGCAGCACACGGGTCGTTGGGTACCCAGAAGTGTGGTGAGCTGGTGTGTTGTTGGTGCTTTGGTGGTGCAGATCCGATTGCCATTGTATGCATTTGATGACTCCACCGGCTGGGCTCCTGGTTCATTGGCATCGCTGTCTGTTTCTATGGTCACGTGCCCATGAGCAAGAGATCGACGTGGAAGGAATGAGATCTTAAGGTAGTGGGGGGTTCCCAACCCACCACAGTTCACCAATCTGAACTTCCTTTTGGGTGTCTCAAGGGGATTCTGTGCAAAATGGGTGGGCGCGTAGGTTTCACAACGATGCCCATTGATCCTCTAACCTGCCCACCCACTCCACACACAGCTTCTGTATGTCGATGATGGCTGCTAGATTGTGCGCTGCCCCGAAGCAATTCCTCACAGCCATCTCTGTTGCCAAAACAAGCTCCGAATGCCAGCATTGCTTTTAAGTATGTTCTGTTCCCATTGCAGTTTATTATCATGGCTTTTTGAACTATGAAGTGTAGTGTTCCATATTGACTTTTTGGCACCGAGGGGCTTTGTGGCTTGCACTTTGCATTGCTGCACTCACAACCCGTTTGTGCAGTAGACAGTTACATATAGGGCAAATCAAGCCCTTGCGTGCTGCCAAATTGCAATGGATTGTTCAAGATTTTCATAGTGCACGCCAATCTCAGTAGAAAATCAGAATTGCAATAGACATTTCATTTCTAATTGTAGTGCTGTCAGACCATCATTAGCATATTTCATTTGCCATCAGTCTGCAAGAAGTACACCTTGACTGCTGCCTTTGGAAGTCCTCACCTGCAGGCAGCCGGTCGCAACTGGGTGCTGCACCACAATCTATCTACCTCCTGCTTAACATTGTTATGTTTCCCCTTGTGGACGCCTTGTTGTGCATGCACATGACTTTCATTTGGAAAACAAGCCATGTTGATGGAAACATACCAGCATTACCTCACTAGTGTGAAAGCAATGCTTCTCAATTTGTAGCCATGTGTAACAATTTGATGCATGCATATGATCTTACACTTGGCACATTGTTATCAGTGTGCTGTTGCTCCCAGCTGTGTATTGTCCCGTTGTGATTGTGGGCATTACTGTCCATTGACATTCATACCCCTGGTGCCCTGTTTTCAGTAAGGACCTGCAGAACGCAGTATCTCTGGGACACCATCTCCTTAATCCTCAGCACCAGCATAGTTGGTTTGTATGGAATTTTTTCTAAACATTGTTGACACAGCACATGCACATTGGGAGAGTGTCTGGCTCCAAAAGCTGTCCATATCGACATGACCAAATCCAATAGGCTATTATGGCGAAATTGTATACAGGTAGTTCTGCAGCACTCGGCCATGTCTTTGCTGTGCTCAGTGGCCCTGCAGCTTGCAATTCACTGTGGGTTGTAATGTGCAGCCTGTTGTTGCTACCCATTCGCTAATTGGCAGACAACTGGGGACCTCTGTGAATATTCATTGCACACAGCCGTTCTTTTGCTCCTCCCCTTTTCTATATACGAGTCGTAGATGGAGTTGGTGATGGACCCTTGGTGCGAATAAATGGCCATCTTGTCACAGCCCAATGTGTGTGGGGTCTTGCTTGTGTACATCCCTCACCAGGTTTATCATTTCCTCACCTGGCTGCTGGCCATCTTGCCTGTACAGCTTCCATTTTGTCAGGCTTGGCAGTTTGGCATGGCACTAGTTGTCCATGGATATGTGCTGCAGTCGCTGACCTCATTTCACTGAATTCTGTGAACATTCAATCCTTGCCACTGTTCAACTGTCGGGTGAATGGTGAGACATTCAGTGGTTGCCTGCATGTTGAGCACCCTCGCTGCCACAAAGTCATGTGTGGTGTGCACTGAGATGGTCACTGCAGAAGCCTGTGCATTTTGTTTTGAATATGTATGCAGACAGCTGTGCACTGTGCTTTGTTGTTGACCTCTGGCCTTGTGGTACGTTGCCCAAAAACATGGGGACAAAGTATCTGCCCTCTACATGAACATGACAAGCACCGTCCTGGGCATGCTATAATATATCTAATCTGCACGGTGCTTTTGTGTGTTCAATGATACTATCACTACGGGCCGTTCTCGAATGCTGGCTGGTGTGGAAACGCGAGGATATGAAATTGGCATCAACTTTGCATTGTGTCATAACAAATTGTACTTTTGTGCAGTATCGACTCTGCAGTTTGGAGCCACACCTCATGCAGAGTTAATCATGTTCGTCAACATCACATGATTGTGTCACTTCGGCTTCAATCAGCAGTGAATACTTTGATTTTGTAGGTTGCAATTTGCTTTCCATGCATACCTTCCACATATCAAGCACTACCCTTGTACCTTGTGGTTGCGATGCCAGGGCAAATTGCTACTGTGGGGAACAATTCTGCGCTGACCTATGCAAAGCCAGGCCCCTGCTTCACCTGCTTCGTTTGGTGGAGAATGACGACTAACAGTGCACAGTGCTCTGTGCAGCCGTTGTTTGGCTTGTTTTGATTTGAGAGAAACAATCTATCTCTCCTGCCATTGAGCACTACCGGGAAGTCCGTTGGGCACAATCCATGTTGGCGTATGGATCGAGCCAAGGCCATCCACCATCCGCCCAGTAATTCCATGGACCACATTCTCCAGGAGGGCACGACATGAACCCCTTGCGATAATAGGCGTAGAATGCAATGTTTGTCATCCATGCAATCAGGCTTGGTTTTTACGTTTACGTTTACGTTTTACTTTTATGTATTTACGCGTAAAAACGTAAATTTGCCAAAGAACCTATTTTTGTGGCTATTTTTACGTGTTTACGGCTCCCTGGGACACCCAGCTTACACGATGAAAGTTGCATACTAGTATGCAACATCATAGTACTATGATGGGTCCTCCACCACCTCCACACCCCCAACACAATGCCCACCTCGCCCTTGGCAAGGGCGATAATGGAGTCTAACGAAAACTCGTTTTCTGCCCCTTCCAGAGCATCTGGCTGCCACTCTCGGGATTGTGCAAGTCTGTATGTATTGTCCTTATGTACACCGGGCAGTTTTACGTTGTGTTCACGTATTTTTACGCATTTTTACCGTAAAAGCGTAAAAACTTTTTACGCATAAAAACCTAAATACGATCATTTTTTACGGCGTAAAAACCAAGCCTGCATGCAATATCAAGGCTGCATCCAAGCAACATATGTTCACTGGCCCTAGATCAAGCTTCCCCCATGCCAAACTAATCGCCCTCCATGACTTTAGCACATTACTTGTCCATCATAGGGACATCAGTTTTCAGCGAAATCTCATGCAATGTCATGCCCACGCTTTTCAATCATACAGTCAAAATCAAGTCAAACCCATAAATTATTGTGGACTTGGCATTACTTTGTGGCAAGGGTCCTCTGGCCAAAAAAACTCGCATTTAGAATGTCGCCGTGGAATTGCCAGTTGTCTACAATCTCAGGAGCAAACCTTGGCAACAGCAAAATGGGGTCGCATATGCAAAACTCTCCACACCATTGAGACCGAAGATCGGCTCAGTCCCTATGATGAAGCAAGGCAACGGAAGATGCATTCCAAAGCAGTTGATCACCAAACTCGCCGTGGTTTGCTGCTGCAATTCAAGGTCGAATCGTCAGATGGCGGATGCCGTCCAGGCCCAAATCTCCGGGGAGGGAATTTTGGGCATACATCGCTACTGGGAGGTGGATGGAGAACACATCTGATACAGTTCGTCCAAGCAGCATTCAAACTATTTCCATTCTTGCGAGCTCATGTTGTGCAGGCGTGTGACAAATGTTGTAGATCATATCAGGGGTGCTTTGCACGGAAATGGCGACTAGGGGTGGGTTTGGGGACAGGTGATGATGATATCAATTGTTACCCAGTAATTGTTCAATAATTCTTCGATAGTTGATTTGTTTCAGGAATGGATTTGGGGAGCAGTTATGAATGTCTTGGTGTTCCAGATTGGCATTTATGTTGATAGGTGTGTTGTCAATGGAAGTTAGGAATTCTCTAAATCTGACTACTATTTTTGTGATGCTTTCTTGGCGATTTTGTTGCTTGTGCAGTGCATTTTCTTCAAGCTCTAGCCTACTTTGTCGTTTCCTTACCTTGATTTCCAAAAATATCCAGGAGATGTCATCTCCTCCGGGGATGTGGCCATATCCTGGGTATGGCATAGCCAGGATGTGCGTTTCTTGTTTTTAATGGGGTCCTGCATACTAACATTGATAGCCAACACGTATGGATGATATTTATGCGGAATTCGCTGTGCCTCTTGCTGCTTTGGAAGCCCAATCTCCTGATGTATTTGCAGTTTCCCTCGCACAACATTCTAATCTCATAGATGAACATTTCAAGCGATTTTCAAACATACTTGACCAATTTGGCAAGCAATATCAACTTGGTATTGCTCCCTTAAGCAAGGCTTCTCTGGACATCGCATCTGTACCATGTGATGGCGGAGATGCGATGTCTTTGGAAGTCTTGATGCACATATGATTCGAGTTCTGATGAACGTATAGCCTCAGATCCACTATGAATGTGCCCATCTAGTTTTGGAGCTGTGCCTCATGGTCCAAAAGGGGAATTTGTAAAAGCCTTGAGGTCTGCCTAAGGTGCAGCAACAATGCCCTGTTGACTTTCCCAGCCACCCGGTTGCACTTCTCGAGTGTTCTTGGCACAGAAATCTCCCATATCAACTTATGAAGATGATGCATCAACTGCCCAGGAATACAGTGGGAAAAGAAGTGCTACTTGGGTGGCTACTTATTGTCCTATACTTCGCTTTTCCCCATTGTCCTGCTATCAGCAGCAGTCCAAATCAACTAGCTATCTGGCAACTTTGTT